ACAGCGTCTGACTGGCATCCAGCGGCTGAATAAGAAATGCTGTATTGTGTCAGCTAAATCTAAGATGGCAGCCCCATCTACACAATAACTGAGCGTCTGTCCACCATGGAGGTGCGGCTCAAACAGCGTCTGCCTGGCATCCAGCGGCTGAAACAAGAAATGCTTATCCCCGAAAGCTATACCCAAGATGGCAGCCCCATCACGGCGGATAGGAGACCTTAGGCTAACTACCTACTGTCCCCGAAACTTTACAACTGTTACAGAAACCAATAGAGAAAGATCACGGACTGATATTACGGCAACGACTTTTAGCGCAAAACAACGGACAAGAATTGGAACATGGAATGTACTAACGCTAGCCCAACAGGGGAAGCTGGCACAACTCGCCAGCGAGGCTCGACGCATGAAGCTCGAAATCCTGGGACTAAGCGAAGTCCGTTGGCCAAACTTTGGAGAACACAAGCTGCCGTCGGGACAGGTACTACTCTATTCTGGTATTCGAGGTGAAAACGCTCCCCGCCACCGTGGAGTTGGTTTCCTGCTTAGCGCCCAAGCAAATGCGGCGCTCATCAAGTGGGAACCTATCAATGAGAGGACAATCGTTGCCAGATTCAGAACGCGGGTTCGTAACCTAACCATAATCCAATGTTATGCGCCAACCGATGCTGCCGAGTTACAGGACAAAGAGAACTTTTACAGTCAACTGAATGCAGTCGTGGATAAAATTCCGAGAGGTGACATCAAGATCTACATCGGCGACTTCAATGCGAAGATCGGCTCCGACAACACGGATTATGAGCGTGTCATGGGGCGCCATGGTCTTGGCGAAATGAGCGAAAACGGTGAGCTGTTGGCAGAGTTTTGTGGCAATAACGACATGGTGATCGGGGGTTCGCTCTTCCCCCATCGACCAGTGCACAAAGTCACGTGGGTTTCCCGTGATGGACATACCGAAAATCAAATCGACCACATCTGCATCAGCCGAAAATGGAGAAGGAGCCTTCTTGACGTTCGGAACAAACGCAGTGCCGACATCGCGTCTGACCACCATCTCCTCGTTGGAGAGATCCGCCTTCGTATCGCGCGGGTCCAGCGGCGGGAGGAGCGGCTCGAACGGCGATTCAACACACGCCGATTGGAAGATCCAGCAGTAAAAAGGTCATTCGTCGAGGAACTGGAGACCAGAGCTGCGGATATTCCTGATGGTGGCAGCGTAGAAGAGCAATGGACGGCGATCAAGGATGCCTTTACTGAAACGAGTGAAAACAACCTGGGCGAGCTGCGCGCTCAGAGAAAGGAGTGGATCACGGATGACACCTGGAGGAAGATAGAGGAGCGGAGAAATGCAAAAGCCGCGATAGAGCGGGCGAGAACCAGAGGAGCGAAGAACCAGGCCCGCCAACTGTATTCGGCTCTCGAGAAGGAAGTGAAGCGCTCGTGTAGGCGGGATAAGCGAGCGTGGGTGGACGCCCTAGCCGATGAAGGTGAGAAAGCCGCAGCAACAGGCGATATCCGTCTCCTCTACGATATCTCACGACGCCTGAGTGGAGCAAGGATGAATCCTAGGATGCCAGTGAAGGACGCGACTGGTCAGTTGCTCACCGACCCCACTGATCAGCTGAAACGCTGGTTTGAACACTTCGAACAGCTTCTACAAGTTTCGTCGGTCAACCAGCCATCAACATCTCGGCATGAACCGCCAAGAGTGCGACGCATCACTCGCGTCAATTCTGAGGCGCCATCCCTACCGGAGATCGAAGCTGCTATCCGAACCATGAAATCCAACAAGGCTCCCGGGGTCGATCGCATATCAGCAGAGATGCTCAAAGCTGACCCCATGCTATCTGCACAAATGTTGCATCAACTATTCTGCAATATCTGGGACACCGCGACTTTTCCGGCTGACTGGATGCAGGGCGTCTTAGTGAAGGTCCCAAAGAAGGGGGACCCAACTGTATGCGATAACTGGCGTGGCATTATGTTACTGTGTTGTGTTCTCAAAGTTCTATGCAAAGTTATCCTCAACCGGATACAGGAGAAGATCGACGCGACTCTCCGACGGCAGCAGGCGGGATTCCGTGCTGGAAGATCCTGTGTGGACCATATTGTCTCGCTCCGCATAATCTTGGAGCAGGTCAACGAATTCCAAGAGTCCCTTTACTTGGTTTTCATTGACTACGAAAAAGCTTTCGACCGACTCAACCACGAAAACCTGTGGGGCGCCCTAAGGCGCAAGGGAGTTCCGGATAAAATCGTCAACCTCATCGAAGCTCAGTATGAGGCTTTCACGTGCAGGGTGCTGCACAACGGAGCCCTATCTGACCCTATTCGGGTAGTCGCTGGAGTGAGGCAAGGATGTATTCTATCACCGCTACTGTTCCTCATCGTAATCGACGAGATAATGGTTGGTGCGATCGACCGTGTGCCGAACCGTGGGTTGCTCTGGCAGCCTATTACAATGGAGCATCTAAACGACCTAGATTTGGCGGATGACGTTGCTTTAGTATCACAACGGCGTTCTGACATGCAGAGTAAGCTCGACGATCTCGCCGAACGCTCCTCAGCGGCAGGTCTCAACATCAACGTCAGCAAGACTAAATCGTTGGATATCAACACGGGAAATCCATCCAATTTTACGGTAGCTGGTCAGGAAGTGGAGAAGGTTGAAAGTTTCCAATATCTTGGCAGCCAGATAGCGTCGGACGGCGGAACCAAGAGTGACATAGGTGCACGGATCAAGAAGGCAAGGGCTGCTTTTGCGAGTTTACGAAACATCTGGAAGTCAAATCAGATTAGTCTCCGCACGAAGATCCGAATTTTTAACTCTAACGTGAAATCTGTACTGCTGTACGCTAGCGAAACATGGTGCGTATCAGCGGAGATCACACAGAAGCTGCAGATGTTCATCAACCGATGCCTGCGGTATATAATTCGTGCTTGGTGGCCTCACAACTGGATTTCGAATGCCGAGCTCCATCGACGGTGTCACCAGAAGCCGATATCGACAGAAATTCGGGAACGTAAGTGGAGGTGGGTTGGCCACACTCTACGGAAGAGCGGAAATGAAATCTGCAAACAAGCGCTGGATTGGAATCCAGCCGGACATCGCAGCAGAGGCAGACCCAGGGGCTCATGGCGGCGAAGCCTAAACAAGGAGATTAAGCAAGTCGACCGGAATTTGACCTGGGCCCAGGTCAAGGCGAAAGCAAACAATCGCCCAGGATGGAGATCTTTCACGTTGGCCCTTTGCGCCAGGGATGGCGCTCAGGACACTTAACTAACTGACCGTTGTTAACAGCAGAGGAATTTGTACCTGGTCGGAAACGTGGAGCGTTTCCTACCTGTCGGTTAGAACGAGATTGTAGGATCGCTTTGCGAGTCTTACATTCCCAAAAATTGGATTTGTGGTTTTCACCACAATTTGAACATTTAAATTTCTTAGGATCTTCCTTCACAGGACAGTCGTCCTTTGCGTGAGAGGAATCACCACAATTCATGCATTTAGCTGGCATGTAGCAATTTTTAGTTCCGTGACCCCATCCCTGGCACTTACGGCACTGGGTGAGGTTTTGGAAATTTCCTCCAGTCTTCCTGAAGTGTTCCCACTTCACTCGGACATGGAGCATAAGGCTAGCTTTTTCTAAGGCCTTAAGGTTGTTTAGTTCACTAGACTTGAAGTGAACTAAATAAAAATCATTAGAAATCCCGTTGCGCGAATCGCCAGGACGGGATTTCATTTTCATTTTGATTACTTGGAGTGGCACAACTCCAAGTAATTTTGCCAGTTCATCTTTGATCTGATCCAGGGGTTCACCACTGGGCAGTCCTTTCATGACAACCTTGAACACACGTTCAGTTTTGGTGTCGTAAGTAAAAAATTTGTGCTTCTTCTCAGTAAGATACTTGAGAAGACATTTAAATCCGTCCAAGGTTTCAGCCAATACACGGCATTCACCCCGACGTCCAATTTGTAGTGAAAACTTAACTTTCACGAAATTCAAAAGTTCCATGCGAAGAGCATGGAAATCGGTAGTGGTTATCACAATAGGGAGAATCTTTTCCTTCTTGGCATTAAGCCGGGAAAGTTTACTAGAATTTTTCTTGGATGATGGATCATTCTCATCATCCGTGAGCAAATCAAATTGATTACTCAAATTAATTTCATCAGAAGGGGGGTCAAGAGTTTGCCCCTTTCTTTTGCGTTTAGGCGCCATAGCGGCAGTAAATTTTTATCCAAATCGACTTCCAAGCAGATTACTATAAGAATCTGAAGGATCGAAGAGGAATTTTCCAAATCGATATCCAAGAAGGATTACCTCGGGTAGGGTCCAAACAAGGATCGAAGAGGAATAAGAGTTGAACAAGGTAGAAAATTTTTACAGGTTGAGCACTGAAAAGTGCTGTTTAAATTTGTTGTAGCTTTAGGTAGTAGTAACACTTCCTTCAGCAAAAAGCAAATAGATCCGCACGGCAAGAGAGCACGATGCGGACTGGATCTATTCAATCGTTAATCTTCAATCCGCTTTGGTGACCGTGAGAAACAGAATCTTAGTTCGCTGATTCATGTTTGGGAAACGACCACACGATCTCGATAATATCGTTAATAGTACCAGGTTGGGGTTACTATCTGCTGTACCTAACTATTGATGGAAATATTGGGATGATAAAATGTTTTACCTTCCAGCCAGGGATGCAGCTACCGAACAATCGTTGTGTTACGGTCACTTGGATGCGGGGTCAAGAAAGTTATTGAAAGACAATGCGATTTTAATAGTAATCCAATCCTACATAATGATTTAATGTAATGTGCTAACCGCAGTTAGTTTAGTTAGTTTACTATCTAAACTTTCAACCATTGGTGGTACCAAGTGCATAATTATTAATACATTTTGTCATACACATCGCGGTTTCAGAAACGTTGTGGTATATGTAGGTTAGTAGTAGAGGTCAGTTTCGGATTAAATAAAAATCATTGCACCATGTTTTGTTGGTTATCAATCTTTTTTTTTTCTCTGGTGGTTTATTATTCGTTATTACGACTATACATGCATAATATTGAGCGTAATAATATTTTCTTGATTCCATTTCTTGTTTTTTTTTGTTTTCGAAGGCGGTTTAATCGGACCGGAGAGAATGTACTTTAATGTCGCAAACTAATCGGCAGCTAACTGCAAACGATTTTCGACTTCACTTGAATACGTATCAAAAATATCGTTTTTAACTCTTTGTGGATGAATTTAAGCTGGATTTACTTTTTTCTTATGTATTTTCCTTTTCATTCAATTTGTTACTGCTAGTTATCTCGCTAGTATGATGTTCCTTTTTTTTTAGAGTAAATTGTGAACACGAATAATTTTTTGTTGTTCTTATACATTTTTTCGAACTGGATCTATGAATGTATCGATTTTGTTTTTTCTCTGTTAAGATTGAATATTGTAATGCGTTTACGTTTATTGAATCATGTAAGGGGTTTTTGAGTTTGACTATTTTTAAGTTTTTTTTTTAACATTTAGAAATTGCTTTTATTGTGTTCAGTTTTTTCTCCATAATTGTACAAGAATATGGACAGATAAATAAAATTTACATATAAAACAATCCTTCTATGTATTTTTACAAGAAATAATCTAGATATAAAATAAATCTTTTATACTCTGTTTTAAAAACGAAAATAACAACGTTGCTTATCTATTAATTGGATTTTATTTGCATACTCCTATAAACGTGTTTTGATTTTCAGCAATCATCAATTTTCATCATTCCAAGTGTAATATATGCATGCATGGACATGTTTGTTCTTCTATGGAATGTGTTTTCCCTAGGTATCTACTTACATAAATTACGATAATTTATCTGTACGCTCCTTAATCAGTATCAGACTTAAACGATAGTGTTTTTTTTTTCTTTACAAACAACAAAAAATAAATGTTAGTAGCAAATGGATCACTGACCTAAATTAGTTATGCAGCCAGCTACTTGGCACCCATTGTGGTTCTCGTTCGAGTGAGTTTATCTCGGCGAGCAGCTGATGGTAGGCCCGTTCCGTGTCATTGTTGATGATGATCATGTCAAACAAGTGGCCCCATCGTGCTTCCATGTCGCGCGCCGTCGCAATAATTTCCTTCAGTTCCTCTTCCTATTGAAACAGAAGCAGAAGAGATGGTTGTTATAAAACCTCTGTCACTATGCAATTTAAAATACTAAATAACATACCTTATACGGTTCACCAGCCCGTATTCGCTTTTGGCGAAGCTTCTCCAAACTTGGTGGTGCCACCAGGACAGTATAAGGTTTCAGATCTGAAGACCGCAGGAGCTTCAGACTCTGAGGATGGAGATTGAGTACGCAAATTTTACCGCTGGCCACCACTGCTCGAATGGCCTCCAAGGATGTACCTGAGAATAAAACGTTTATGTTAATTTTTTTTTCTCATCAGTTAGTGGCTATTCATAAACAACGTAAACTATGTTTTGGAGAGATTTTAGACCTTCTCTGTCTCTATGTAGTCCTCATGCAATTAAAAACTCGTCAACCCCCCTCCATATATAAATAAATTACACCGGGCAAGTGGGACCACGGGGTAAGTGCGATACGTAATACTGCTGATAACGTCGTTGTCATCGGTGTACCTTACATGCATTAGTATTGATCTTATTTTATCAGTTTTATTGTCTATAATTCCCCCTTCGTATCATTATTTTTATTAGCGTGATGGCAACTAAAAGGTAAATTCATCCTCTTTTTCTCTAACTAAATATCCGAACGTCATTGGTGGGAACATGTATCTCGCGAGCAGCCTACCGGAAAAATAGGCATTCAAGTGGCTGTTGTGTAATCTTGGAGTGTTGCAAAAAATGTTGTTCTAAATTTCAGCCACCAATTTCATCAAATCCATCCGAAAGACTTTTAAAGCTCTTTTAAAGTTTAATTGGAAAAATTGTTGTCTGTATCTCTTCTAATAAAAAAAGATATACCCAATTATAGTAAAAAAAATTAAAATGTTGTGTCCTAGACACGACCGCAGTATGACGTAGAACTACGCAAAGTTGATGTATGTCATACATTTTTTACTAATATACTTTATCTTAAATTTTTCAAGTATTTCAATGTTTCGGTTATGGTTCAATGTTGGTTCAAGTATATTTCCTGGAATGTAATAAATTATGAAAATTCAAAGAAGCCGTTATATATTTTGGAGTAGTCCACAAAGACGCCATGCATGTTGTGGGATTAAACAATTGCTAAAAAATACATTAATTATTTTCAGTAGTAGGTACCATCGTTAGTTTTAAATTAGGTGTCTAAAGCAGAGAAGAGAGTGAAGGTTGTATTTTATGATGACGCAACAGGCAGTTGTTTTCCTTATCAGAAGACGATACTTTCAATTCAATATTGATCAAAATGTGGGTTCATATGTTTTTGTTTTCCAATTTGGAGGACAACCCTAACATAAAATTATCATGCATCATCATTATGCAGTTTACAGCGTGTTCGTAGAATGATGCAAAATAGAATACTGTGACTTTTCTCAAATCAAACGTTTGGTTTCTAATAAGTAGGTGCTTAGTACAACATTAATTGAAAATTAGGGGGATTCAGTTTTTGAATTTCGCTAAGAGATACATCTACCGTTTCAACTTCTCCACGCGTTTCAACTTGCCAAGGTGTAGGGTAATGGATTTTGGTTGCACTTATTTATGTTATTTTCGCACTGCGTCTAAATGTATTGCGTGTTTTATCTATGAATATAACATATGGACATGAAAAATGTGTGTTTGGTGAAAAAGTCTAACTTTCTAGTGTCTATTAATACTAAAGAATGAATAATGTTTTAAAATTAGATTTTATTGAAACGTGGGTTCGTAATCACACAAGCACTTCTGAGTAATTGCGTTAATTGGAAACAGTAGATAAAGCTTCTTTCTCTACCATGCACGGTATATGTATTTAGGTTAACATCCGACGTCTCTCCTTAGCATATTCGGCAAAACAAATACTTTCTAAGCCCCGCCCTTGACAGGATTTCCCGTCGTTTTATTTATGCAAAAAAGCATGGACTTTGGATGTTAATCTAATTGCATATATAGAGGTACCAGATATGTTTTACAGTCAGTTGGTGATAAATCACCAACAGTATATCATCAAAATAATCGTGAGCGATTTTTTTTTTCAAATTTGAATGTTTTTGCTCACTGGGCAGTGGTAGTAAGCGGGTAAAAATTTAACGGAATTGAACTTTTTTTTGTTACTTAATTGTAGTTTGCTTAACAATTATTTCCCCGTAAAAAAGTGATCGTCTAAGTCCATGCCTTTTTCAGGTTGTCGCTATGGGGGAGGGCGGGGAGGGGTGTTGTTTTGCAAAAATAATTGTTCCGCGTTTCGTATTAGGTACCGTAGCCGCGTTTCAACTATGGGACCCAAGTCCCTTCCACCCCTTGGTTGTCAAGGTGATCCACCTTTAACCGCTGACTTGCTCCTGCTTACTGCACGGTTAGACAAAAGTTCCAAAAATTAGGTTTGGTTCACTCATTTCGGCACTATAGTGGAGGAACCCAAAAGTAGGTAAAGCGGGTCAAAGTAATTTTCATTTACTTGTGTGCAGTTCGTATGGAATTTTCCACTAGCCTTTTAACCAAAAGTAAGTTAGTTGTACCCAACAGTAGGTAAATATGATTATACTCAACGTTGGGTTCCCACACTTTACTACCCCTGTTGGGTGGTTTTGCTCCTCCGTTTTTGACAACATTAGAAGGAGAAAAGGAGGCAAACTAGTCAACAGTAGGTAAAAGTGAACTGGCCGTTGGATACTTTTTTCTTACCGTGTGCAGGACCCAGTGCCACGCCGTCCGAAGCGGTAATGAGCAGAGGCTCGGCAGCAGCGTTGTTTTATTTCTTTTTCAGGTTCAAGCAGAACGATGTGCAACCAAGTGGTACTCGATTATGACGACTGGGTTTGGGAAAATCGTTTATGTCACGAAAACAGTGATGAAATTATCATTTGTACATTTTTCAAAAGTTATTTTTATGAAAAATTAAAAAAGTATTTATTTAAGTAGATTTGTAAAGTAATATCCTATCGATTGGCATATTTGGAATTTAATTTCATCTATAAATGACAAAGTTACAAGCGTTTAAAACCTAACACTATTTCACCACACATATTTTTTTATTTGCACCACAGTATAGTCAACAAAGACGTAGTTCTACGACGATACGTCAATAACTCTTTATCGGCGAAAGATATCGACAAGCACTGTGCTGCAAAAATTTGCACCTTAAAAGATCTAAAAGTTATTTGAAAACATCTTTGCTGAGAAGTTTGAAATAAGAAAACTAGAGCAAAACAAGTGTTTTTTTAGACACCCTAACTCAATTCCAGAAAATAGCTCTAAATCGGACAGTTCAACCACCTTAGAATTCATTGTCATAAAAATGAGGGCATAGTTAGAAGGAACAACTTTGTAGGATACACTTTTAGTCTAAAATTTTAATTTTAGGCTCAAAACGTATCCTTCCACCTAAATCTCCATTCTGGACCACTGTGCAGTGGATCACGGATGGAACCTGGCGGAGATCGAGGAGCGATAAAAAAGCACCAACGGTACTCGGCTCAGAAGGAAGTAGAGCCCACTTGTAGACTTAACAAGCGAGCGTGGGTGGTCTCCCTGGCCGATGAAGAGGAGTTGGTGGCAACAAATTCAAGGATTCCTGTGAAAGTTGTGATTGGACAGTTGCTTACCGACCCAACAACCTGCTGAAATGTTTGTGTGAGTAATTTCAACAACTTCTTCATGTTTCGACAGCCAAACAGGTATCGACATCTTGGCATGATCCACCAAGGGTACGGCGCATGACTCCCATCAGATCCAAGCATCCGTCATTGCAGGAGATAGAAGCAACTATCAAGAGCATTGAATCCCTCAAGGCTCCCCCGGGTAGTTCACATATCACCAGAGATACTCAAAGCTGACCCCATGCTAACAGCACAAATTTTGTATCAATTATTCTGCAATATCTGGGACACCACGACTTTTTCGGTTGACGGTATACTTACGGTATATACGGTCTTAGTGAAGGTCAAAGGAGATCTGGCTGTGTACGACAATTGGTGAGGCATTATTCTACTGTGTACTGTTCTCAATTCAGTTCACCATAATCCGAATTTCGGATTGGAAATCGGCAGAACATCGCAGCAGAGGCAGACCAAAGGACTCATTGCGGCGTAGGCTCAACAAGGAAATCAGGAAAGTTGGCAGTAATTGCCCTGGGCCCAGGTTAAGTGGTTAATTTTCAGTTTTTTCAACCTCAAGTTGATGAGATGACGATTTCAACTGTTTTTTTTTTTAAATTTATTTTTTGTGGTTGTGATGCCACGAATAGTACGGTTGGTGATATTATCCACCCACTGATGTTTTTTCCATGAACTTCATACTAACAACACAATACTAACCATAATAGGCCTTCTCATACTCTCCATGTTCGACAAACTTTCTAGCCAGTATATCCGCTTCGAACTGTTGTCTCGAGATAAAGTGGTAGTCTTGTCCAGGAATTTCACCCTCACGTTGGGGACGAGATGTATCTGTTAAAAAAAGGCAAATATGTTAATGTAAACGCTTGCCAGGCCAGAATTAGCAACAGCCTTACGAGGAATGGCAGCAGCAAATCTTTCCGAATCAGCCATCAGTCGTTGTCGAAGCTCGTGTCGTCCAATGTTGGGCGGACCAATTAACACAATAGGTCGTTTGTGTGACGCACGCGGATAATACAGGGCTACTTCCTCGTACGTGAGGATCTCTTCAGGTTCAGGATCTTCTGCCGTGGCTGTAGCATACAGTGGGTAGCCGTGTTCACTGCTTGCCTTCTTTTTCTTTTTCTGTCCCTTCCGGGCACAGAGTAGCGTAAAACCACCCGCTTTGCCGTTAGCATCCCTGCGTGCCCTTAGACCAACCTCACCTGCGTTGGCTAACTTCATGGATTCGCACAGATGCTGGAACGATTGGCTAGGTATTAGACCAGCAAGAGTTTGATCCTCCTCACCCTCACGATACGCTTGCCACCAGTTGGGATCATCACGAGATATCACGTGGAGTACATCTCCTTTCTGAAAGCTAATGCCAAGCTCACGACAGGGAATATACCGGTCATCCTCCGGATCATAGTCGAAGTGTGCTCTGACGTGCAATACAGCACACGACCCGGAACGCGTCCCTCCCCGTATAACCGGATCTAATGGAGGTCTACTGGCTGGCACAACAAGAAACGTCAAAGTTCCAGTCATTGCACTGAGTAGAGCGCATACGTCGTTTATTGACTTTCCGCGCATTTCAATACCGTTCACTTCAAGCAGCTCGTCACCCTCGTGTAAAAGGCCAGATTTTTCCGCGGCACCACCCCGTACGACCCGACCGATCACTACTGCTTCCCCCTCGTTCCGTATAGTAGCTCCAAGTGGTTCCGACGATTTCTCGATCTGTATTATTCTTATATGATCCTGACTACCATCCCGCAAAACACCGAGAGGAACACTCATAGGTTCACGCTGGAATGTACAACTTTGATTAACATATGTCTATGAAAGAGAAAGAAGATCAGTTACCTTTGCTATATTATTGTTATTGTTATTAACTAGGCTAGTATTATTTGGAATAGATGGCAAAACTGATGTCGGTTTGACCGGTGTAGCGCTGGTCATCGTGTTATTGTTCAATGGCAATGGCACCGTGGGATTCTGACTGACTGCACTGACACCGTATGCTGGCGAACGATCGGTTGTGGACGCAATGCGATCTTGTGCCAGAAGCAGTCCCTCCATTTCGTACGTTGAGAGCAGATCACATAGTTCTATTGCAGCTGGTGTACTTGACTGGGCCAGGGATTCAACACACTGCAAGTAGAATTGATATTCAGTAAATGACCACTTAGTAAAATTGATCATACGAAAACTTACGTCCTTAGCCAGTGCCTGTGCATTTGAGCAAATGGGATTCTGTATACGTGGTCTCCGCCTTTCCAGAACAGCTGTGCGAGCAGCGAGAGCACGTGCGATGCCGGGACCCAAAAGCAGACTTTGGGCCGCTGTAACTCTACCAGCGAGTGCGGCCAAGCCATGCTTATTGAGGTGACCCTGTAATCGCTGCAAAGCTGATACTAGCTCTCCATATCCTGAAAAATCTATACAATTTGGAATCTTGTATGTGGACTACTTTCATGTATGGCGCTCTTACCGATAATTTTCTCCGGTTCTTCATCTTCTATGTAGGCTTCGTTTTCAACGCCACTAGCGGGTTTCTCAACAACCGGGTTGTCCTGCAAAGCCCGTAATCGCTGTGAACTCCTGAGACTGTTCCGCAGAAAGTCATTCTGAGCAGCTATTCGTTCCTCCTCTTCACGTCTTCTGCGTAATTGTTCCTGTTGATTGTATATAAGTGAATTTTATATTAAAAAATGTCATGGTAGAAAATAGAAAAAATAATCTTCACACTCAAACTCGCCTGTTTTTGCATGTAGAATGAATCGGAATGTATCAGATTGTTGCCCCCGCTACCGTTGGCAACTTTACCACCATAATCGGTTACGATCATGTCGAGCTGAGCATGGGCGTTTGCCTAGTTCGTAACCGGTCCGTTGGGCTTCTAGCCAAAAATAGGCAAATCGATCACTATCTATTGGACTGTTCGTTGGGTGCCAATGTGATGTTTCATGTTGCTGCTTCTTACATTCAAGAAGGAACGAAACCGGTGAAGTGAAAGTAACTCGTTGTCGTTTTCTGTCGGGGTGTAGTGCGCCATAGTTAGACAAATAAATGTTACCCGTCGCCAGGCAATTAGCAAGGTCGGACTTGAATCACCTAGCAGTTTCATATGGTGTGACATTTACGATTTGTTATGTGTACATACGCTGGTGGCAGATTTTTTTTCGGTTCAACAAATACCTACCGCTCACTTAATTTATTTTTATAAAAAAAAATCCGCGTACAGTTCGTGGTTACTCAGAGGTACGATAGTATTGTCTGGTTCGTCCAACAAGCAATTAAAAAATTTAAGTTTATATATTTGTCATGAACTTTGCATGAAGTGGGGCTCCTTTACTACTTATAGGAAACTTCGGGTAATACTAAGGTTGGCAAATGTTCTTTTCATTGAAAAATGTCATTAGATTTTTATAGTAAAATCTCTGTCACAAATAAAATTGTTTACACGATAGAAATCATGATGATATCTTCACATTAATGATTACACACTGTATTGTCATTGAAACATTATATCATCATGATACGTAGCATAGTCTAATGATAATGAGAAATAAAACCTGTTGTTTCATTTTCTCTTCCCGAGCAAAGTCGAGCAATGAATGCACTTGAAAACAAGTTTTGTTTTCAAAATAAAATTGATATGATAAATTAAATCATATAGTTTTCGTTTTGCTGTAATTTTCCAACATAATTGGCAAAATTTCAAAGTTTTGCTCTCACTCTCGTATACATGAGCCTTCATTTTGCTATTCATTGACAGTCTCGTTGACAGTAGAATTCCATTTGATATTTACTGAGAATGCTTTGCTCTCATTTTTGACCAAAATGAGAGTAACCTGAGTAATAAAATACATAAACATCACAACATCACATTTAGTATTCGATTTGGTCTCAGGCTTGACGGTTATGAAATTTTCCAGCACTGACTGACTGCGTGCAGCTTGGACCTTGAGAGATTGTCCCACCTATGATTTTTTCATTGTTTCTTTTGGCTTTGCAAATTCTCATTCACACACTTATGCATCCTGCACATTCCTGCATAGGTGCATAGAGCCAACGTGAAAGATTACCATCTATTTAAAAATTTATTTTTTATTTGAGTCAGATTCCTGTCGACTTCTATTATTTCCTTTTTTTGTAATTGGAGTATTACAATTTGTAAGGCGAGATTTTTTTTTTAACTATGGTAGTCCAGTATTTTCAAAGTTAAGGAGCATTTTTTATGGTAACTTCCTCCAATTTAGTTTATCGATCATAACTTATTATTGATTCATTTGTTCAGTCCATGATGTTCTAAAAAAACAAAAAATTGCATCCTTACAATGTTATATGAAATTTTCACTTTACTTTTCCATTATTTTATGACTTCCTAGGGGAGAATGGCGCAAATGGAAATAGAAAGTCAACTAGTCTTCATGAAGTTTACATCTAGAACGCTTCATAGTTCTAGTTGCAAACTTCATGAAGACTTGACTTTCTATTTCCACTTGTGAAGAAGTTCAGTAGAGTAAAGGGTGATACGGTCAAAATTTGGTCAAGGGAAAACGCGTGTAAATCGGTGAAATCGTTTATTTAAAAAATCAAATTAAATTTCTTTTTCAAGTTCAATTAGTATAAAATTCAGGAAAAATATTCAGTTAGGCTTCCGCTTTTCCAAATCCGAATTGCTGGGCCTTACGCTTGACCCCTGCCATCAGATTTTGTACAGCTACCTTGTCCACCTTCTTCGCCGCAGAAAGCCAGTTTGCCTTGAACTGCTGCTCGCCCTTAGCAGTTTTTTTGGTCTTCTTTAGGTTCCGCTTGACAATAGCCCAGTATTTCTCAATTGGGCGGAGCTCTGGCGTGTTGGGAGGGTTCTTGTCCTTGGGAACCACCTGCACGTTGTTGGCGGCGTACCACTCCATGGCCTTTTTACCGTAATGGCAAGATGCCAAATCCGGCCAAAACAGTACGGAACAACCGTGTTTCTTCAGGAAAGGCAGCGACATTTATTCAAACACTCTTTCACGTAAATTTCTTGGTTGACAGTCCCGGAAGCTATGAAAATGCTGCTTTTCAAGCCACAGGTACAGATGGCTTGCCAAACCAGATATTTCTTTGCGAACTTTGACAGTTTCATGTGCTTGAAAACATCTGCTACCTTTCCCCTTCCTTTTGCCGTATAAAACTCCTGTCCCGGAAGCTGCTTGTAGTCGGCTTTGACGTAGGTTTCGTCGTCCATTACCACGCAGTCAAACTTCGTCAGCATCGTCGTGTACAGCCTCCGGGATCGCGCTTTGGCCGTCGTATTTTGTTTATCATCGCGATTTGGAGTCACTACCTTCTTGTAAGTCGATAGTCCGGCTCGTTTTTTGGCTCGATGCACGGTTGTAGACGATACACCCAGCTTATTTGCGGCATCTCGGAGAGAGAGGTTAGGGTTTCGCTTGAAACTACCGGCAACTCTCTTTGTCGTCTCAGCGGCTTCCGGTTTTCGATTTCCCCCCGATCCAGACTTCCTGGCTGTCGACAAACGTTCCCCAAGCACTTTAATTACATTTGTAACGGTTGATTTGGCAACTTTTAGCGATTTTGCCAACTTTGCGTGCGAGTAGCTCGGATTTTCGCGATGCGCGAGCAAAATTTTGATACGCTGCTCTTCTTGCTTGGACGGCATTTTGACAACTGAAGAGTGAATTCCAAAATCAAAATAGGAGCAACATTCTACACACACACACCTTCAAAATGAGGGGTGTTCAGGTTTTTTAAATGCAAAATTGAAAGAAATACGTCAAGTTGATATTGACCAAATTTTGACCGTATCACCCTTTATCTACTGAAAATCGTAGAACTTTTTTGCAATTTTTTTTTTCGGTTTTCTGCTTTTTTAAAATGATTTTTGGTCTAGAATCGTAGATAATCTGGCCAGATTTCCGGATCCAATTGACCAATCCTAAAAATATGCAATAACGTTCTTTCGTTTGTCGCCGCGTTTGTTAAATCTGGTGTTGTGGTTGCTGAGAAACACGTCTTACAAAATTTTGTGAACAGTGTTCAGGAAAATGGGTGTAATATCGACCATGCTACATCAATTCTGTGGTCAGATTTCTCCTAGAATTGTAATTTAAATTTCGAAGGAATCCATTGGAATCATCCCAAGGAATTTTCTTCGGTATTTTCCTGAAAGTCTCTTTAAAATTTCTTTGAAATTTTCCTCTGTATTACCATGTAATTCTACTCATACCTTCCATGAAATTCTTCGCATAATTCATCTAAAGCCCATGAAATTATTATCAGAATAAACTTGAAACTCTCTTAGGAATTAAGGCTGTGTGATTCTTTCTTTTTAGGAATTTTCTTCAGAAAATCAATCGCCATTCTTAAATTCTCATAGAAATTCTCTTGAAAGAATGTTTATTCAAGTCCATGAGCCTGCCCCGTAACGTGAGTAGATCACCTACGTTACGGGATGTAAGATCTACTATCGATTCCTAGTTCTGATTACTTCAAACTAGGAGAACAGCATTTTTCAGTAATCCAAGGAACAAATCTTAGTCCTTGTTACTTTTTATGCCTTGTTGATAGTGACAAGACTCGGCTTTGTCCACCGAGGATGATCTTTAAACAAGGAAAAAATGTGTTAGTTTGTCTTCATATATGTGATTCCTAATCTTCTATTCGTTGTTCCCTAGTTTGAAGTGGTTAAGACTAGGGTTCTGGTGCATGGTCATTATCGGTGTCATTCCTTAATTTTTTGGCTAAGGAATCCAGTTTTGACTGACAAAGAGGCGCGCCTTTGGAGGGTGTTTCAACACTCCGAAGGGTATAAATAGCGGAACCTTTCAATTAGAGTCGGATCCTTGCGATAAATGCAAGAGAATGACAACTGTAAAAAAATCGAATATTTCATCATTTCTCAATAGTGATGGAGTAATACGAAATGTTGTTCAGGTGCATTTTTTTTTTGTTAGTCATCATCAAAAAAAAATACTTTTCGGTTTTTCTTAGTCCAACTTTTTTTATGATGAGATAGAACGTTTTTACATGTTATTTTTGTCAGTAATCTACGGAAGAAACTGGTTTTCTTGGATATTTGATAATTTCACCAATATTTTAAGAAAATAAAAACGAGCCAAAAATATTTTATTTTTATTTTCGGAGCGATAAATTTTCCCTAAAGCCTGAAAATGTTTCTTTATGCAATTTTGGAGCATACATTGTTTTCTATATACTTGAACCACAGACAAACAAACATAGCACTCGGATACTTTTCAACGAATAAGCAATTAACAGTAAATTTAAAGTTTTCTTCTTTGGTAACATTGCCACCTGTTGATTAACTGCCTAGGCGTTTGACGTTTAAAGGGTGTCCACTGTTAAATTGCATCACTTTTAAAAAGTTGTAACATTTTGCAGCATTTTTTGGTTAATTTCAAAGAAATTTTGGGTGAGATTGCCTCAGCGTGTATTGTTTACACTGCGTGAGTTTCATTGTGAAATTTCTAGTAGTTTTGAAAATGGAGTAGAAGGAACAGCGCGCACTCACCTTAACAAACCGCATATTTCGCACCGAGCCATCGGAAAGATGTGGGGAATCCAATAATCTACTGTTTTTCGTGACATAAAATGTTTCGGAGATCGTTTCACTGTCGATCGGAAGCAACCAAAATAACCAAAA